AAACTATTTCATCGATTATTTACCAACGAGTTGTGGTTTGAGTTGGGGGCAATGCGACTAAAACCGTAATTGAAATTCAGGACACTATTTTTTAAAACGCGTTGCTTGCATAAAACTAACCAGACACATTCAATTTATCAGACTATTGAACAACTAGAAAAAGTGAAAAAAAAACATCTTCTTATCGCCAGCATAAATGCGTAATTATTTTTTTTACAGAAAAAGTAATTTTTCACCTTTGATTGAGTAACGCGTCGTAGAATGCAGATACGGGCATGCAAAATACACTTGTGAAAAGCTTAAAGTCTGGCGATTCTAAAAATATATACTTTCCCGGGTCTATTTGTAGTCATTTAGTCACAATTAGAAGATGAAAACAAGTATGCAAATAATAGTCCCGCTACCTTAAAGATATAAAGGTGGTGATTAAGAGGTGCAGAAGGTATGGGTTGTTAAACTCAGTTCATGCGCTGATAGAGAGTCGTTTAGAAGCCGACACGGACGGTTATTGTCTACTATACACATTAACTCAAGTTAAAATTAAGTCAAATATCGCCAAAAGATACTCATATACATACTCAAAACATATTAAAGGAAGTGCAATCCAACTACTACTCAAACGAGATTGAAAGTCGTGGTCAAAATTATACCACGTCTCCGATTTCCAATGAACACGTGAGGGCGCTGTTCTGAGGCAATTGGAATGACAATGAGATACTGAGTAAAATATATTCTCTACTGAGCTTTCAGTTTTATTTTGAAGAAAGCAAACAGAATTATGTTCCCTGTATAACATAGCTTTCATAAATGCCATTGCATAAATATTAGACCAGGAACACTGCCTTAAAAGTGAATAATTTCACCATTATCATATTTAAGTAATGAACATGACTACACAATTTTATACATGCGTTAGATTGTTTAGGGAAAAAACAACCTAGGATGAACATCCCAAAAAATTACCTGCCCTATATATATTCGGCCTATCACTGTGAAAAAATCTGATTATTGGCACAAATATTCTATTCGTATAATTACAGATAATAGTCAAATGTGAAGAAATTTACTTGAATATCAATGAATTTAATAAATAAAAGAGTTGAGGAGACGCAACCAACTTGGACAATAGGTGATTCTCCGTTCAACTGCGAGATCCCGCGAGTTACGTGAAAGATGTAATGTATTTACGTTAGGTGTGGCTAGACGTTGTACACTAGTGTAATATAAAATAATAAGCAATACCAATTGAATGATGACGAATATACATATTCATAACAACATAACAATTCATTATACTTTTATTCATGAAATATAGATCATAGAGTATTTTGTTTTCATATATTGACGTAAGCAACTACAGTCTTATTGGTGATATACTTAGCAAAATGCCTACTAATTGATAAGTCATTATAGGTATTAAAAGTGTATTTGTAACTATGATATACGATATAAAGCATTATATGCCACAATTAAAGAAAATATAAACAGCATTACCATGATACCAACTACTACACACTACTTGAATATAGTATTTGAAAATACATTCATTAATCGTAGAGCCACAAACACTATAATTATACAAACCATATCAGAAAACAGTGGTAACTTAGGAGATCGTATTTTTTCACAATGGCAAACATCTGTTTTGACGGGTCATCACTGTCTGACGCCATCAAACAAATATTTCTAACTACATTAAAAACATGTATATTATTTGCCATGCCGACTTTTCATATTCATTACTACAATACCAAATAAGTAAAACAGAGCAACTTCCTAACTATAATTGTGGAGCCGTAAATTATAACTACATTCTCAAAATGAAAATATTATTTTTATTAATTCGTAAAAATACCATAAAATACAATTCTTTTACTTGAGCAGGATCATTACAACTTCAAATTCCCAGTGGTATCCTGTTGGTGCAACGATATAAAGCATTATATGCCACAATTATAGAAAATATAAACAGCATTACCATGGTACCAAATGGTGAACATTTAACACAATACTTGAATATAGTATTTAAAAATACATTTATTAATCTTAGCCACAAACATTGCTTGCCATGGGTGCTTAACGAAATTTTATGAAAATTAAATAGCAACTTTAATAAATCATTGTTTACGCATATATGTATTTGAGTATAGGGATGATAAACTAACACAATCTATAACATATGAACTGATGAAACAATATAGTACTATAATTATACAAACCATATCAGAAAACAGTGGTAACTTATTCAGCTTCTTGCTGCTTGGAGATCAATTTCAGGAGATCGTATTTTTTCACAATGGCAAACATCTGTTTTGACGGGTCATCACTGTCAGACGCTATCAAACAAATAAAAATAAATATTTTAAACCAACTAATATGCCGTCTGCCAAATATAACTGTCAAATACACTGTTTAGATTTGACCCTGCCTCACACAATATAACGCTGCTACTCTGCAATTTTAAAAACGGTCAGTAGAGGGCGCAATACACACCCATCTGTGTGTCATCTAATATGTACTTCTGACTCGTGTCCTTTTCAGAGAAAAGACAAACACTAAGCCGAATATGGTAAATGTCACTTACATTGTTTTTGATCATTTACTACAATTGAAAAATGATCAGCATCAAATATGCGATATAACTTGCCGAGAGTAGTATCCAAAGTAATCTGTAAAACAATATATTTCAGTATGAGAATAACTGTAGGGAATATGTGCGGTACTAAGATAATATATCAAGCATACAATGAATTTGAGCAAAAGCTGTTACGTAAAATATTTATTTCAAAGGCTTGTGAACGTTCGGACTGGCAAACAATGTGTTTTGTATTAGCATTTCCAATGACCATTGTTCACCATTTCGACTATCAGGTTAGTACAAAGTGACAAAAAAGCCATTTCATCTTGCACTGGTCTATTATCTGGTGAAAATTGTGCCACAAGTAACACAAGTAACGTATTTTTCTGTTGATTATAATAAAATATTAAAATATGTTGTAAAATAGATTTGTTATACACGCTCGGTAGATGGTTCAAATATATTTTCTATTAGTATTCTTTAGCGGAAGATGTAATATAATACTAGTACCTTTTGAAACTGCTTGTATGTAACGCTTGACACTACAGTAGATTTATCCACCTTTTCAGCCTTTAACTGGGCATTTATGTTACCAAGGGTTACCATACCTAACACTTGTCTACAATTAAGAATTTTTGTTTATATTAGGGTCATGTATTACATTGAATTTCATAACATTCGATATCGCATAATACAGGGGTAGATTTTATTTTGAAACATATAATACCATGATTACAAGATGACATAATTTCACCACATTTCATTCAGCCTTGCATTTCTATAATATATTCATCTACAACACATACAGTAACAAAAAACATTAAAACGAAAGTGAGACAAACAAACCACGATTACGATTGAAAGTATGTAACTCCATCTACATTTCTTATTTCTCATATTTTCAATAAATGTAGATGTGATTTTTGTAGTGTGATTTTATAGGCAATGTTTTTCATCAAACATTTTATAAGAAACATTACATAGTATTATAATCACGATGCAGTGCTTTTTGCTTCATCTGTTCCTGGATATAATTGATTTACCTATCTTGCTTAGTCCACTCCGGTTATATGCTAATGAATCATTCTGTTTCATCTACTACTACACTATAAATTATATACCTTACCCAGCCTCATCTACTGATTGTATCTGGTGATAATGTAATGAAGACTCACCCAGTTTCATCCACTACAACCATCTGTGACAATCCTTCTTTTTTCATAATATCGATGCAATCTTCACAGGAATGTGACGATAATACTGTCATGGAGTATTTTATATCTAATGATGATACTTTCATATCCTTCCATCTAAACAAAACACACACACATTAGTTAATATTATATCAGAGAATAATCAATGCTGGTTGATTATATTTGCAATACTAAATTCTGATAATTCTAATAACACATGTCACAAATGTGTTTTTTGCCATTCAGTTTTTGGACGAAAAAAAATACCAAATGGGAGTACACGTACTTCGTCATCATGTCAAACTATATTCTGGATACCTATGTTATGTATGATACTGGGTTTGGTGTATTATTTTAGTGATAAGATAGTTATGTTATTCGTTCGAAGGTTGCCAAGTAAATGTAGAATTCAAGCCACTCACAGTTGTTTACCGGCTGATGCCCCACCACCATCTTTCTCCACATAATCCCTTTCTATCATCCAGTCATCTGAAATAAATTTGGTCCTGCAATGAACAATTATCACATATTGTTATGCATATGAGAAATTATGCATGAAAAAGCCAAATAATAACTAGTCCAACTGAGTTACACTGCCTTGCAGTTTTGGGTTTATATAACAAGCAGTCTCTCAGATAAGATAGCTCTGCAATGCACATTTCAATTAAAGAATTGAAGATATCATCACGAAAAGAACAAATCTGGGAGAGACTCGAGAGGTTCAGCTTTAGTACCATTATGTGTAGTATCTAAGCAATCGGACTTGCGGTTTTAACAGGAAGACAAAAATATCATTTTTTACCAAAAATTACAAAAGTAATCATCAAAATTAGAGAATTGAAGATATCATCACTAAATGTACAAATCTGAGAGAAATCCACCTCAGGTACCCATAAGTGTAATATCAAAACAATCAGGCTTGTTCTAAAAAGAAGTCGTGAAATGATCACAAAGTCTGGACAATTGTCGCAGGTAATAATGACACTAGCAATGTATGTAGAATTGACTGTCAAGAATTTAATTTTTAGTAAACCTGACCTCATCAAGTGCATTATTGGGCTGCTATATTCTGGAATGGTCAGTCATTGTATTAATTTAAATTATGTAGTTTGAATTTCAGAATGTAAAGATATGAAATATGTATATGAAAACTGTATGGGTGAACGACCATTTGCATATTTTTATTAAACAAATGAAAGAATCGCATTTAAAGGGCGAGTTACCTGTTACTGCATTCGAGTAAATGGACAGACGTTTTTTAAGGCCAAATAAAAAACGAATGCATATTCAGTAACCCAACCTTGCCTGGATTTTTCAGACTGACTTTGTATCTTTCTATGGTCAAACTGAAAATGGGCACTTGTAGGCATACGTTTCACTAACACAATTCGGGCGAATTCAAATTTATGCACATGAACACTTAATTACATGAAAAACATAGAAGATATACTTTCCAAGGTTTAGTTAAACCGAAATCGCCATTCAACACAGAAGCCAATCAACGGCGGCTTTACAGTTACATGACGATTTCGGTTTCAAAACGGGCGTTTTGCAACTGATGCAACTTATTAAATTACACTCATTTTACCAAACCCATCTATGCATTGGTGTCCACAGTTAATTGGTGATAAACATGTGTTAAAAAGTAACATGATATGCTATATCTGTTAAAGAGTATATTTAGGAGGTGAAATACATTGACAATGATGGTGAAATGATGATGGCATAATCCCCTTACAAGTAGTTTCTGGCAGAGTCTGCTATCAAAACCACACATCGTTGTCCGGCGTCTAATTCCTTAGCTGCTGTCAGAGCGACCGACATAGCTGATCCACTACTGCCACCTGTGGGTGTAAGTCATACAATATTTATATACATATATAGGCCATGCAATATGTGTTTTATAACACATTACACGTTCATACTGTACCATTAATAGTAAACACACTGCATGTCTCCTTCTCGTCGTTTGCTAGCGGTGTCCCGATTTCTTCACAAAACGATGTAAAGACGCTACAAGAAAACCTGATTGCGTCCTTCGTCTTCGGTGCATTTTTATTTTCTACTAGTGTGTCAAGCTCTTCTTCTGAACTGAAGCTAAATCGTCCAGTCTTTCGAGGCCGACCATCGATATCAGCGACCGAACTAGCAGACGACATATTGGAAATCACACGATCAGGTGACGAGTGACGTCATCCCCGGGCACTAGTTGATGTACTAGTCTCCTTAGGGAATTAGTAATTTCCTTGGCGCTACTATGGTAATTCAGCCAATAATACGTGATCCTGTTTTGATCAATTACAGTACAGTATTAACGAGTGATGTGTTCTAATGTTAATTAGTGTCAATTAAATGAATTGTGTTAACTTACCACATAACAACCCTTCTTCTCTTATCAGTCTTCTTGCACATAGGAATGAGTCTTTGTCACTGCATTCTATTATTTCGTCAATTACAGAGGGATCCATAGTTGTCGCAACAAAGGCACCCTGGACTCCTTCAAGTTCACTTCGTTTAGATGATTCAGGGGTCACAGCAATTATCTACAAATATGACATTAAGGATTAAATCCAAATTAGAGACAATTTATACAGACAAACATAATGCATAAACATTTTTGTTTTCATATTGGGTGTCATTTTTCAATGACATGCATATTACAGTTTACATACCATAATAATCTAAAGCAGGACCTTTGCATCTAGTTCATGTCACCTTCACTTGCTGTATAGATTTGCCAATTTTGAGACATAATGTACTATACAATTATCATGTAGATCAAATGTTGACTCTGATTTATTTAGTTTTACTTTGACATGGAGCCTGGAGCAGGAAGAACGTTCTGTTTCTGTTGCGTCTGGGTCATGTAAAATAATACATAATGGTGCATCTAAACGCGCTGCGACTTGTTGGAATTGTGTTATTGTTTCTGTATGTAAGTGAGCGAAAATATATTCAAACTAGTAACAACTGTAAGCCTAGTTTAATGTCTCCTAAGTTAACTATGCCTACATGCGAAAATAGACAGTTCCCTTACACAATGTGGCCAATCCCTTTATCAACTTGAGTACAGCACGACCAACGAGTTATATGGCAATATCTTAGTATCGTGCCCATGACGTTGAAAGTACATCAAATCTATCATCACATCGAGTAGTTTCAACACATAGTTGTCCATCCAATCCATCCCAAGCACCAGCTACTAATCCGCACTAGGTTGACCCAACAAAATCGAACTTTTTTTTTAGATTTTATGTAAACAATATAATTTTATAATATGTTTATCTCTGCCGTGGCAATAGTTGTCCCAGCAGCTTTTCTTCCCTATGTGTCGAAGGCCAATATAATCAAATTTAAAATTATTAAAACAGTTACTGATAAACATTACTTTGTCTCTATCCACATCTGCATAACGAATCATGCGCAGGGCATTGCATTGGTTTTCGATAGCATATGCATATACACTAATATACACTAATTTCTTTAGTTCAGCATGCATTTGTAGTGTTTTCACGCTATGGGTGCAACAATTTGTTGAATATGTATTTTAGATAAAAAAAAATACAATAGCTAGATTGTGTAGTAGCTATGAATAATTAACATCGCTGTGCACCCCTGAAATATGAAACATGCTACATAAGAAACATATTTTTTTCTTATAAAAAGCGTTGACCGGACATACTACAATAAAAAAAATATGTTGATCTGTTGAAGCATTCATGGTAAACAGATGCCCCGATTTGTGATTGTTTCCAGAAGATGACGGACAAACCAATGACTGATCAATGTTATTTTATTTTCTCATACATTTTGGCAGAATATAAACTACACACGCTAAATATGTTTGTCTGTTAAAGCACTCATGAGAAACAAATGCCTAACATTTTCCAGCAATTCAAGTTGGGGCGAAACCACATGACAGATCAAAGTTATTTTATTGTTGCACGGATCAACAAAAATCAAGTTGGTCATAAGACATTTATAAGCAACACATTCTGAATTATTAGCCATTAACAGTCTAATAAAGGAATGGGTTCACGTTATAGTTCTTGTAAAATACTTGCGCAATATATTCCAAACGCAAAATTACACGTAGATTGATGCAAGTGCGTGGAGAAACAAATGGCGAAAATTTGTACATTTTTAAAACAATCGAACATGGCAGTGAAACTATGTTATTGATCTGAATAATATCACCCTGAACATTAGTTTTCAATTTCAGAAATGATTTCACTTTGTCAATTTTCATATCCTATATTATCGGTCAATTTTTTGAAATATAAAATTTTACTATTTTTCATATTTCAAATTTAAATATCTCGCCCGGATATGCCTTTTTTATTTGGTATGAGCTCCTAATGAAAGTATGGCAAACATGACTTAATATTTCATGAACCTTCTTACACCTACATAAATTGTATACAGGCCTATATTACAGCAATATAATGTACCTTTTGATGCATATGAAAATAAAATCAATTGTGTTGATGTAGATTTTAGAGAGAAATACTCACCTTACACTGTGGACATTTCTCCTTCAGTTTTCTACCCACACCTGTAATTGTACCACCTGTAGCTGTACAAGCAATGAACATGTCCAACTTACCTAAAAATGAAACAATAGATACCGCCAATAATGTTATTGTTTTTTTACTACTTCCTTTGAATTAGCTTCATTATGTAAATCAATAGGTTGGTCGCCAGATTAATATTGTAGTGATCTAGAAATTAGTGTACATGCAAACGCCAAATTAGTAATAAAAAGTGAAAGAATGTATATATCTTCTTACCATCACAAGCTGATAATATTTCTTCAGCTGTCTCATCATAATGGGCCAACGGATTCTCTGCATTCCGAAACTGATCCAATATAATGGAATTAGGAATTTCCTTACTCAAGCTGTGAGCCACACCAAAAAGGGAGTCCGAACTGTCAAGCGTTGTTGCAGTCGGAGAACGGACAATCTCTGCCCCTAGCACATGGAGGATATCAACCTTGTCCATACTCATGTACTCAGGCATGACAAAAATACATTTATAACCTTTGACACATGCGGCTAATGCAAGACCAATTCCTACGAGTAAAAGGGTAAAGATAATTGAGGGTGGGGTTGAATAACATAAATTATTATACGTCTGTCACCGTAACGTCATAAGTCACAGCGTGTCGTAATTTTGCGGTATTTCACTGGGTATTTTCATCATACCATATTAGTAAACGCAAATTCCAAATATGGAACGATTGCACGCGTAAGCGTCCTCTAAAAATGATTTCGGCATTCCCATGATGTATTCCTGGAAAAGATGTATAATACATTACGCGATCGCATCGACATTACTGTCCGTCGGTCGATTATCACGCTGTACTGTCTTCATGCATACTTTGCAGTATCCTCGTAATAACCCTATATTATTATGTGGCTAATGGTGCTGAAAGTTATTTACAAATACTACTAGCATTCATAGCAAATGAAAGCAAGATACAAAATAACAACCATCCGACATGTTCACACAAAATGCCATAGTCATCACAACTTGGCAATGTAAAGTACATAGTTATGAATTTACGTACCAAAATGAAAATAATATTAAAATTGTTTATATGGTAACAACAAACTGGAATTGCTTAACGACAATAATGGAACTTGTACCTGTATTCCCTGCTGTTGCTTCAATGATCACATCACCGGGTTTAATTAATCCTTTTTCCTCAGCATCTTCTATCATTCTTCTGCCTATTCTATCTTTCACACTTCCACCGGCATTGAAATATTCACACTTAGCCACTGAACCAAAAAAATCATAATAAATTCAAAAACAGGAGCTGATATATTGAGTATGCCAGTCTATGGATACAATACAAATTGCCAAAACTGTCCCGATTACACATTGCATCGCATTCTTTTATTAGGGTTTTGAAGACCTTGAAATGTGCTGGCTCTATGCATATACTGCATTGAAAATGGTCGCTAATTGGCTGGGGTTCAAATAGCTTTGATATAGTAATTAAAACAAATTTCATTCTCGCTTTGATTTCACGCATAGCATCGCAATAGGTTTTCGTTGATGTGTCGGGGTATGTATTTCGTTCCAGTACCGTTTCAATCGTCACGAAACAGTTCCCACACATGTTGAAATATGTCAAGCATGTTGAAGAAGACAACCTTCCATCTTGTTTATAATTCTGCAGCTGACAATAAAGACGTATCTGCTATCAGTCGGCGGCATAGTTATCGATAGCTTTGATATACAAGTTTGAAGATCGTTTCGTGTGTTGCTTGACGAGTCCCGCTTTACTGTACAGTGTGTACCTTGTATAAAATGACTGTGGACGATTATGTTAATATAATATAATTGTTTAAGAAACAAGAGAGTAAAATGATTATATGATTTAATTGATGAGTCACACGCGACGACTAATATAGCGACTTCTTGGCGATTTTATCAATATGTTAATTTTTTTACAAGTTCGAAATATATTGAGGGTTATGAACCAATTAACCTACAAAGACCAACACACAATGCCCATATACCCTTGCAATGAGTCATATTAGTGTTGTGCTCATGTCTTGTTATTTTTTTCCGATTACCTCACACGTTCTTTTGTTGTGAACTCCGCGTTGTGAACTTTGACTCGTTTAGCTGATAACATTCACACTTAGAGTAAACATGCGATCAGCCAATCCTTGCAGTCGTTGGCACGATTATCAGGGATATGTCTCACAGATAAAGCATTACATGGTTTGCCACCACTAAATGCAATTAGTAAACAATCTATTTATAAAATTCCTGTAATAAATGTTTATTATGTCTAGCCTAAACGTGCAAGCTTTTAATCCTTAACAATACTGCAACCTTGTGTGAACAAAATGTGCGTACGAGATCATCATGACGTGTGCGGGCGCTGTGAAATTCACGCCTATAACAATATGGAAAAAAACAGTAGTTTTTGAAATCACGTCGACGATAATTACCAAACAGATACAACCAGTCCAATAGGAAACAGCAACAACGTTTATTACGTAGAGTCAACAAAACTAATAGACATAATATTATATACTCGTAGGTTAAAATAACCTTCGGTAAGTAGCAGGCAAACGTTATCTCGGTTGTAATTGGTTCATTAATATCACTGATGATTGGTCAAAATTACCGGCCTCTGATTGGTTAATTAGACGGCGAGTCGTATCCACAAATGCAATTTAGTTTCCGATACGCACCAGGTGTTCGAAGCTCGCGTACGTTGCGGTAAAAAATCTACAGCTACAATGATGTGTGTAAAATAAATGCATCGCTTTAAAACTAAATCATTTGACAATTTTTGCACAAAAATGGGTACTATCACATTATGAACAAAATATCATAAAATGTTGCGCAAATATGAGAGGATTCCCCTTTAAAAGAGAAAAAAAACGTAGTGTCGGTCGAAATTATATGTCTGTATTTTTTTCCATATTGCGCCATGTGTGCGTCGATAAACCGAAAGTCAAATACCTCTAATGCATGCGCCCGATGATCGTCATTTGCGTGTAGTCGTTTTGGGGTGGTAAATATAAATTAAAGGCATAATGCGGTGTGTAATACACAAAACACGCAATTTGAATTCACAACCACGACATTTTCGAAATCAAATGAATGCTCGACAGAGTATCACGCGACATAGTGAACATATATAAGCTAATACTATGATATTAAGGATTGTATTCCATATTTTGGAAAGTCAGCTACAGTGTCTACCACAAAACAATAGCTGGTTGATTTATCGATGAGTTGATTACATCCCTTGCTAACTGTACTTCATAAGCACTCGCTTAAAATACAAGGTATTTTCAATATGTACTTCTATGCAGACAATGTGTGTCACATCACATACTAATGAATGCACTCTGAGGCCAACTTTGTGATTATACTATAGTTGATTTAATCAGAGCTCAGGCAACCAATACTGACATCAGTGGTACTTACGTAGTTCACATTTCAACCCAGCATCTTTACCGAGTTTATTGATTCTCACCATTGGCGTGTTTCCAGTTCGACTCAAAACATTCGGGAGTATTTTCTCTTCCACGGCAGGTCTGTAATAAAAACACTATCCCTTTTATGGTTATATTGTGCCAAATAATAATAACCCATCTCTTGCTTTGTTATGATGTTATATGTTGTTTACATAACAATATTTTCTCATGATGAAAATTACAATAAATACATTTAAAAGCGTGCATCTTAGTATAATCAGCTATTATATACACATGTTTGTAATAATTTTTATACAAGCACATATTCAAACATGATTGTAGAAAAATAATATGAATGCGTCTAATCCTAATTTTACTTTGCATATTTTACCACTATTAAGCACAAATATTATAATTTGTTACCCTTATATGTCAATTAGCGAATAAAGTCAATGCCCAATGTTGTCATTAATATAAGACATATGCAAATGCTCATGTACGCGTGGTGCCGAAATGCTGTGTATTTATCTTGAAAGGGTAGTTTTTTGCAACTCACTCCCACTTAAGACTGTACGTCATTACTTTAACAGTGTTTACAATAAAAACTTTCAGAGCGACAAAACAACTTACAGTGGAATATGTTTATGTGGACTTTCTTTGATGTCACTTCCTAAGGTCCATGTACATTTAGATGGTGTATTTGGTAAAACCTGTTCCGTTTTTCCATCATTTCTCTCATTCATCGTATTAAAAGATGTATCCGAGACCAGGCAAGACAATAATAGACTGGAATGGAACAAGAGAAAATTAATTAACCACAAAGTTATTTCAAATAATCTCCCAGCCCACCCCCAAAAATCAAATGACGAGACCCTATTGACCTCGCAAGAAAGCTCGTTCATGCCATGACCGCCGTAACTCTTAATTGACCCCTTACATCTCGACCAGTAGTAGTTTCTTCGCATGAATGATTTAAACGAGTATATAGTTGTCAAATGACCATCACTGGAGTCAACTCCAGGCATATCTTTTACAGAACAGCCTAATATTATACAATTATTGATACATACTTCTCGGGCCGCTAAAGGATGCAATATACCTAAATGCGTTCGATGTGTCCAACTTTAAATTGGAGTCAGAGACAACGTGGCGTTAAACGTTGCGACAAGCGTGCAAATATGAGCATGCGCATTATGCTTCAAAACAGCACTGGATTTTAAAAGCGTCGGGCGAGTTATTCCACAAGAATGGTGTGCCCTAGTTATGTGTACGTGATCTACGTAATTTGTCTAAATCGTCAAGATTACAAAATTATATCTCTGCGTTTTAAAGCCTAACATCTGACCACCATATGCCAACTGTCAGGCGACCTTCACCCCCGGACATCACTGTGATCACAAACACACTGTTTATGCCTGAAACACAGCGCCTCCTTCAATACATTTATGAGCGAAATGTAAACTGAAGTTTCCGACAAACGTTGATAGTATGTACCTTAACAATGTGAACTTGACTTGCTTCAAATATGTCGTTTACTTCACGCAGACAGACGAACAGACTACTGCACTGACCCAGAAATGGTTACAACGGAGAGGTTGTGAACCCCAGATCGCATATCATGTGATATTTTTGTCAACAATGGGACGACGGAAATAAGTGAAGCTAACCGAAGCATTAACTAGGTCGTTCCTCGAGATCGTTCATCTCAGTTCAATGACACTGGACGCATTGATCCCGGGACCCGCCGTAGGTGGCAGTATTTTCATGCGAGGTCAATTTAGAATTACCATGTTATTCCTAAATGCGTAATTATGACTGAGCCGAGAATCAATTTTGGGTACAAGAAATCAACCAAAGACGCTTATTTGGGTATAATTTGCGCTGTCAAGACAAAGTGCAGATTAATAAAATAAAATTGACGAGGTTTTCCGAGAAGAAAAAAGTGAATTATTTGTTGAAAAAATTGATAGGCAAAAATCGTGAAGTCGACTCTACGCATGCTATGCAGTGTCATGGAAATTGTCCACAGTACACGTGCACGCATCTTTCGATGACGTAGATTATTTTGCCAGCCAGCCGAGGACGCCGTACATTGTACTAAAGGTAAGAGCTCTTGTCCTTTTCCACAAATTGTAATATATTCTTAACTCTAAAAATCTGCACACTATGCTATGATCATTCAGTGTTTTGTTCTAAACGACTCATCGCTTAGCAAAGCTGATTTTCAGGATTTATTGGCACATGATGTCATGAATCAGGGAATCTCATGGCCAAAAATAAATCGCCAAATATTGCATTGTACATAAATGATGACAGCGATTTACTAGGCCTAGTAATTACTATTCTTCAAAAAACATCTGTAGGAGATCTTCTTTCATCAACTAGGCCTAGTAAATCGTAGACCTGTGAACGCGTATGATTTGTGTCATGTGCACAAGCACAATTACCTAACCTACCGGTCCTAAACGGCCACAGTTGTCACGATGCATCTCAATAAAATAGCATCTAAAACCAAAATAAGGCCGATATGTTTAAATACTTGTACATTAGTCTGGTCTATGCAGCTAGCAATAACGAAATTGCAAGAATGGCATCGGATGTAGCCATGTCTAGGGCATGGGTATGATTTATAGTCATTGCCCATTATTGTAATGTTATAGTGTCTATGAAGTATGTGATCATGATTAATCTTCATGATCATTTGTGACCACGCCATTGATTATTCGGCGTAGGTTACCACACACTGTATAATATTGAGCAGAAAGCCATGCAATAATTGCATTTCATTCACCACATAGGCATGGCTGGCTGTACTAGTTCGTACTTTTTCATGTAAATTATAAAGTAAATGTGCATAACCTGTGTTTATTTTCATTGGGAGGATGCTTGAATGAACGGTAGTGCTTTCAGCATTTTCTCGCCAGTTATTTACAATGTGCCTCAAGATTTAATTATGGAAAGTCCAATCATTTCCAAAGCATTATCTATTTCAACAATGTTCTTCCTATTGAACATCCCTCTACTCAACACCTTACTCAAATAATTCATTACCTTTATATAATCTTACCACTTACTTTTATTTATTTTCTGCCATGCGAGATAATTCAACCATCACCTGTACCTCTTATTGGTTAAACTTGACAATTATTTTTACTTTATTCTTACTCGAATGTTTTTGTAAACTTGTTGTTTATTGTTGGTTAAGATAAAAAATAAAAACTTTATTATTTTCTAGTTCATTACAGACAATTATTCTATTCACATTATTCTTACATGGTTGTCTTCCAACTAGTCATGCTAGTGATGTCTAATAGCAACCGGCCAAATTACAAGTGGTGGGTGTATCAGGGGTAAATTCTTCTCTCTGGGGTTCTCCACACTTGTCAGGGGGGAATCTCGTCTCGTCTCTATATCTCGTCCCCTTGAGGTATGGGATCGGGAAAGTCACTTTAACTTTACAGTCAAATAAGACACACACAACGAAATACGTTTCAGCTCTCGTCTTAGTCGGTCAATCGAGCACACTATAAGACACGGCGCCCAGGGGAAAAATCCCCAAGACTATCGCAAGGCTGACCCAAGACTCGCCCAAGACTGGACTGCATCAAGGCTCGCCCCAAGACTCTCTCGGACTCCCCTCGACTGCGTCTGTCGTGGAGTATTCGCCAAGACCAACTCAAACTCTCTTTATTCATTTTCAAAACTCTAACCAATTACAAAGCAATAAAAAGACTCTAGGGCGTAACTTTCAATCATAAAGCCAATCACACTAAGTACTGAATACGTCATATCTTTTGATTAATCGTTCACTACATTAATAACTACGGATATCAACTGTCAGAATCTTAGTCAGAATAGCGGCAGTTATCTGGTAATTAGTTTCAAATCACTGAGCCAAGTTCCGTCCAAAACTTCAAATAGGCCTAAACGATGACAGACATAACACAGCAATTCGCTAATAATCAACTAATTAAGTCGATTAACAGATACGCGAAAACAAATTCATGACAGGTGGGTCACAGTCAAGTACAAATAAGCCATTCACTGCCAAAGAACAAATATATTCATTCTTTCCGATCAGGTACTTTAACCTCCCCCTCTTGATTCAAAAGACTTAAGACATAACCTACTTCCTATAACACACAACACCATATTCACATAACTGTTCATACATGTATACATTGTCACAGCAAAATCAATTCCATAAATTTACCAATGGCTCAAGCAAATCATTTGCCCATATTGAATAGCCTCTTTTATAATCCATCTAATAATTTGGTCTTGTGTTTCAATTACATGATGTTAGTCAAAAATGTCAGCTTCTATTATTTAAGCACTCGGGAAAACACAATCTTATTATCAAGGTCACGTTTATATTGCGCTGGTCCCACTAACTCTGGATTATAATAACTGTCAACGCAGCTTGAGTTTGTATATTGAGGTCTCGTACCACTAATTGAAACTCCATAGACGACAATGTTAATATATGACGAGTTTGCTATATGAAAATGATGAACAAAGTTGAAAACATGGCTCTAGAATGGGAAATCAACATACCAGTAATCAGCCACATGAAAAAAAAAACTACGACGTTGACCAGCTCAGATTCTTGCAAATCTCAGGTAAACAAGACACACCAACTGTATTTGGATTGTACCTAGATAAATCACTTGAAAAACACCAAGATTAGAATATCCAAATACACACCGAATAAACGCGCAGGTAAACAACCGCTAAGTAGTAAACAAAAGACCACATGTTGGTCTCACCTTTGACCCAGGTGATCACGCCCTCGAACACCTGAGAAAAAAAATTATGAAAAACATTTCATTGGTTCTTGCAAGGCCATTGGTTGATTAGTGGTATGAGACCTGTTATAGTGAATGCCACAAGGTGCATGCATTAAAATTATGTATAGCAAGTAGGGAAAACAGCTTCGTTTATTATATTACACTTACAGTGGTCACTTTCACCTCGTAAATTGTACTTCTTCTAGCTTAACAAATTCGTTCAACAGTTCTTCCTCAAGCGATGGGGTATTGTGAATATTATTTCCAGACAATTTAACTTTATATTAATTTTGCCTATGTCATAATATGTGTAAATAGTATAGAAACGTTGGAACCATTGGACCCGGTACTCTGAGCGAAAATCATGACGGAAAGTGTTGTTGTATATATATATCTGTTTTATCTTCGTGTCATATCCTTGGAAATATAAAACGCCATGATATCAACTGATTACGTGACAAAGAAAATTGTTTAGTTGCTGGGTTCAAGTGTCACCATGAGCTAGATACAAGCTGCTTATTGAGAACGAAATGCTTACACAATTCTGTTTTTACATAATGGTAGCAAACGATTTTGTCACAATTTAAATAACCAGATATCTGCTGGTATGGTGTCCACAGGCTTTCAGGAGAATTATATAAACACTTCTGGTTTGTTTTAGGTCAAGATCTCGTTGATGTGTTTTTCGCATCAATTGAGAACGAAATTGCCACAAGGTCATTATCACACTGCTTCCAAAAAATAAACAACAATCTCTGACTATAACATTTCATTAAACTATCTCACTGAGAGTAAAGCATGTACTTCCTGAAATCATAAACATGGACCAATCATCACACTGCATATGTGATGTAATGTCTTATTCATATCATACCAATAAACCGCTTGCAGTCGTTGACCTGGACCAACAAGATGGCGAATGACACCCTCACAATTTCTGTCGAGGTATCCGCCAAGGATGCTCTCTGTCTGGTTTGCTGTACATCATTGTCGTAGAACCACTCCTACATAAAATAAGAACAAATTCAAGAAATTGAAATTCGAAACTCGCCGGAAAGTGAATTCATCCGCTTAGGGTTTGTGATCTGGTCAGAGGAGAACGCGCACAGACACACCACTGAATAATTCTAAAGGTTCTTGACACATATTTTTTTTGATAAAATTGATTGGTCAATTTCAACAATATCAGAGCTTATCTTGAAAGATGGGGGAAATTTGCGCTCAAGATGTAATACAGAAGGCGCACTATAGTTGTAGATCAGACAACATAATGCAAATACAATATAAAAATATCAAGACAGTACCAACCTATTGCAAAAACAATATAAAAATGTCAAGACAAAGCCAACGTAATGCTTAGACAATATACAACAGTCAAGACTGCCAATCTAAACAAGAGACAATATAAAACGGTCAAAACAATGATAAATGAATGTAAAAACCATATAGAAATATCAAGACAATGCCAACCTAATGCAAAACAAAATAAAATGTCAAGACAAAGCCAAACTAATGCAAATACAATACAAACCTGTCAAGACATTGCCAAACTAATGCAAAGACAATGTAAAAATGCAGGAAAATGCCAACCTAATGCAAAGACGATATAAAAATGACAAGACAAAGCCAACGTAATGCAAAGACATTATAAAAATGTCAGGAAAATGCCAACGTAATGCAAAGACAATAAAAAACTGTCAAGAAAATGCCAACCTAATGCAAAGACAATATAAAAATGACAAGACAAAGCCAACGTAATGCAAAGACATTATAAAAATGTCAGGAAAATGCCAATCTAATGCAAAGACAATATAAACCTGTCAAGACATTGCCAACCTAATGCAAAGACAATATAAACCTGTCAAGACATTGCCAACCTAAT